TCTAATGAATAGGTTATAAAAAAAATTGTGGCTTTCATTTTGGTGTCCTCTTTCATGCTCTCTCTTGGGTCAGTGACCCTGGAGAACACCACTGTTATGTTATGAGGCAGCCCTGTGTAGAGTCTCATGTAATGAGGGATACAGACCTGCCAACAACACATGATTGAGCTTGGAAGTGGATCCCCCCCCACCCCAATTGAGCCTTTGGATGAGACCTCAGTCCCAGCCAACAACTTAAGTGAAACCTTGAGTCCCAATCACCAGCTAAGCCACCTCCAGGTCCTTGATTTACAACAACTGTAAGATAAATATTATTTCAGCCATTAAGTTTTTGTGGTAATTTGTTTTGCAGCAATAGATAATAACACACTGACCAATACTTGATAAGTACAGAGATAATCCTTCCTATTAAATAGGCCTAAGTAATAAACATTGTAGGAATAGTCTTATTATTTATGCCTCACTTTAAAATTGTTTTACAGATAAAAAATCCAAGCCTCCTAAAAGCAAGGTAATGGGTCTAAATACTTGTGGCTAGCAAGGGGCAAACTGTGAAATCAAACTAACTTCATCTCTAAGTACAAGATGTGTTTGTGGAATTTTATGAGTGGTTAAGTGTTCATATATGGAAGTAATAGGAGAAATATCTGAAAAGGTAAGTTGGAATCAGATTGAGGAAGGTTACTTTGAACATTAGCCTGAAGGGCTTTTATTAAATCTTAGATAATAAAGATAAAGACTTTCTTAGTAGAGGGATGATATGATGGAAGTGTTGTTTTGGAAGATTTGTTTGAAGTCTGTTTAAATGTGAAAACATGGGGCGCCTGGGTGGCTCAGTTGGTAAAGCGACTGCCTTCGGCTCAGGTCATGATCCCGGAGTCCCGGGATCGAGTCCCACATCGGGCTCCCTGCTCAGTGGGGAGTCTGCTTCTCCCTCTGACCCTCTTCCCTTTCGTGCTCTCTATCTCTCATTCTCTCTCTCTCAAATAAATAAATGAAATCTTAAAAAAAAAAAAGAGTAAATGTGAAAACACGAAAGAAGAGGTACCTGTTTAGAAGAGTTTGTTTAGGTACATGAAAAGAAGGAAAGGGATGAGAAATAAGAATAAGAATCAACAGGACTTTAGAGACTAAGTTAACATAGCCTGGGGAAGGGAGGTAATAAATAAGAAGCCTAAATGATAAAGAGAATGGTCTTACCTAAACAGAAATAGGGAAGTCTGCATAGAGGCAATTAAAACTTTGTGAATCCATGAGTTCCCAAGGAGAGATGAAGACAAGCAGTGTAGTAGACTGCTTTCAGTGGGTTTTCAACTTCTTTTTTTTTAAGATTTTATTTATTTATTTATATAAGAGAGAGAGAGAAACAGTGTGAGAGGGGAGAGGGTCAGAGGCAGAAGCAGGCTCCCGGCCAAGCTGGGAGCCCGATGCAGGACTTGATCCCAACCTGAGCCGAAGGCAGTCACTTAACCAACTGAGCCACCCAGGTGCCCCATGGGTTTTCAACTTCTGTTCCCCACCTTGACCTTCGTCGCAAAATTTTCTTTTAGTTCAGTTATCACCCTACCTCCCCTCAGCCATGAGCTTCACTTGAAGTTGTTCTCAGATCCAGAAGGTGGGTCCTAATTAGTCTAAGCCAATGATGGTCATTCCCATCTCCGTTAGGCATGGCCATGGGACACAAATCTAAGCCATGAGATTTAAGAAGTTGGCTAGGAAGCCCCTAAGGAGGCTTGAGAGAAGATGGCCTCCTGTTTTCTTCTGGAAGTTATTCCATCTCTGTCTTGACATGAAACTTGGGACAGCTCTACCGTCTTGGGTCCCTGGAGTGCCAGGCTTCACTGGGCACAAGCATCTTGTGATAACCAGAAACCAAACCTTGGGAAATCCTTCAGATGCAGAGAACTGGAGGGGAAAACAAATGCAGTGAAACACAGAGAAGGATTAGTCAGATGCCCGGAAGACAAAGAAAATCAAGTTAGGTTCTGAAGCCAAGGTCTCAGGGAATTGAAAAGAAGCCAGGGATTTTGACAGGGTTTATGCTGGGCTGAGGTAAAACTTTCCAGTGGAGAGAGAGTGAGCTAGACTTGAGAGGGAGAATGGGGAGACAATCATCCTTCCAGACCAGCTTATTCAAAGAGCTGCACTTGACAGGATTCCTGAGGTGATTCTGGGGTCCGCAAAAGGTTGTTCCTGAGCTATGAAACACATTCGCTTTTGAGCAACTAGCATTCATAGCGACCGGGCGAGTCACTCAAAAACCAGCCTCAATGCAGCTATTGTTCAGATGCACACCGGCAGCGTGAAAAGATGGGCTGAAATGGACTTTGCTGCTTGAAATTAAGTGTGATCACACTCAGCAGCCTCGGGAAGCCCTGCCATTCAGACCTCAATTAGGGGAGGCTGGGAGCCACGGGGAGCTGGGAGTAGCCCTCGGAAAAAGAGAAGGGGTTCTTTCTCTGGGATTTTCCCTGATGGCAGCCCGAATCCCACGTGAATGGTCTTCCTCTTCCATGATTCGCGTTTCCTGCTCTTAGCAGATCCTTCTCACTTCTCCCTCCAACGGAGAATCTGGACCCTTGGGTGAGAGTGGCATGTGACTTCACGAGCTGTTGGAATTAACTAAAGCGTACTCGTTCCCAAACAGTCTCCCCCGAGCACCACCACCCCCACCCCAGCAGCTGCGAACTCCCAGCGTGGGCCGTGGCCGAGACCAGCTGGCCGCGTTCCTCACCCCTGTTCAGCCCGGGCCCCGAAGAATCAGCCCACACTGACACCAAGGCAGCTGGGGAAAGCCGAGGTTGCTCTTCCAAATACAACTCTCTCTCTACCCTGCCTTGAAGATCTGGCACTTCGATTTCCCAGAAAGTCTGGACTGGGTTTGCTTTGAGAAAAGGTGAAGCCAACAAGAGGCAGAGTTCAGAAAATGGTGATGAAGGGCAAACCTTGCTAGCTATTAGGCAACATTCGAGACTTCAGAAAATGCAAATAAAAATACCGAGACTTGCTCGGGCAGTGGCTCATCAGAAGGGAAAGTAAGATTTGGTTGTCCAGTGGGGGCACAGCCCATTCTTTTCTGATTTCACAGGTTTGTGGGCGCTCACGTCTCAGGGCAGCTTTTACTCCTGGGGCGGGGGCGGGCGGTGCGGGGAGCTGTCGGAGGATGGCAGGGGTACAGAGGGCTGATAGCGGGTGCATAAAGCGTTTACTGGCTAAAGATGCCTATACTCTGCCAAAATTGTGTTTATTTGTTTAAATATACTTCGCTGCCTTTAGTTTAGCAAAATTAAATCCCTCCTCAGCCCCCACGGAGACCGGGTGATTGGGTTTCAGGGTGAGGTTGCAGCGAGGGCTTTGGGGGGGGCATTCACGAGCCAGCTGCTCCCACAGCATTCATTTATTCATTTTATTTTCAGTCCCTAGGCTGGTTTTACACTTTGCTTTTGTGTAAGGGAATCAGGATTAGTGGGTCTTTTGTTAGTAAGGGGGAGAGGGAGAGAAGCAATTCCTTTGAGCTTCACACACATGGGCCGCCTTGCAGGCAAAGCTCAAAGCTTTGATTTACTTCTCACTCGCTGACTTTTTCAAGGAAAAAACAAAAAAGGATCCTCCGTGTCAAGCTGCTCTGTTGGAAGCTTGGATGGCAACGATTGGGGTGACTGGCGTCTCCAGAATCCAGTTTGCAGCCACCAAGCCAGGGTTTCATTTGAGCTCCGTAAAGATAAAGTGTCCCCAACCTGGTAAGAACAGACCAGCGGGGAGCCTGCTTCTCCCTCTCCTCCCTGCTTGTGCTCTCTCTGGCTCTGCCTGTCTCTCTCTCTCTCGCAAATAAATAAAATCTTAAAAAAAAGAGAGAGAGAGAGAGAGTTGGGAGCATTCTTCTATGTTGAAAGAAATGCCTCATTATCACACGGCAAAAGGCATTATTGGGTGGTCCTTGTCTGAGAGCTGAACAGAGCATACAGATGCCTACTTGATTCTTTGGAAGAATTAACATTATTTTTCCCTACTTGGAAATGCTCAACTGCTAGCAGGGTCCAAAGTCCCCCTCATTGGCCAGCTTGTCCAGGTGGAGTGACCTACCTCAGTCTCCTCCACTGAGCAAATCATCCAGCCTCTTCGAATGGAATTGCTAAACACATCCACACATGCACACGCACGCACGCACACACACACACACACCCCATGTAACCTTTTTTTTTTTTTTTCTTTTTTGGTTGTTTTTTAAGACTGGGAACAAAATTACTAAGCAAAATTTCCCTATGAACACTTCTCTCTTTTATTTTTAAGGACAGAGAAAGACAAAGTGAAAAAGGAGCCTCCCCTTATTCTCCTTCCCTTCCCCCTCCCAGCCCAGAATCATAACACTATTCGGAGGATGGAGCAGAGGTGGAAAAGGTCAGGAAAATTAGGCCTTGTCTATTGACTGGCTCCGTTAGGAACAATTGTTGCTCAGCAGCTGTTCTTCTGAAGCTGGGCCTGAGCGCAGACTCAGGGATGGAGTGTGGCACAGGCACTCGGGGCAGTGAGGGGTAACATCGAATATTTTTTGCACCTCAGGAATGATGGGCTTTGTTTCTCAAAAAGAGCAGAGATCCTGTTTCTGGGTAGCTGTTATCAGAAACTGGTTTTAACTAAACACAGTTGGACTCTGTGCGTGTGTGTGTGTGTGTGTGTGTGTGTGTGTGTGTGTGTGTTTCAGTAGAAGGGGGTGGAAGAGAAGGGAAAGACAGAATAAAGTCAAATCCATTCAACCTTTCATTCTGTATTTTTTTAATGTAGAAAAAACCTGAAAATTTTCAGCCAAATGAAAAGCAGTAAAGTGGTTGAGAAAGACTTCATGACTAAGAGAGGATTGCAATGGAAAATATGTAAAAAGAGAAGTTAAACCAGCTGGCTTATTTAATTTTGGCTTTCCCCGCTTTTTACTTTTTTTTTCTTCAGCTTAAACGGGGGAAAAATGTACTGTGTAAATATTCAGTGTTTTTCCTAGTATTTGGTCTTAACAAAATTCTTCACAGGACTTAGTTTAGTGGATCTCTGGGGATTGGGCGTGAACGTGACATTTCACCCCTGGGTCAGAGGCCACTTCCTGCTCCGACATGTAAGTAAAAGTTCTCGCTGTCCCATGGGTCTCCTGTGCTCAGGAGTGGGGGTGGGGTGGGGGCTCAGAGAGTCGGAGTGGGGGATGGGAGGGAAGCTCAACGACAAGTATTTCTGACATTATTTGATTGTAAGAACACTTCTCTTCCCATTCTGATTGCCTATCCAGGAACTAAATTTCAAAATTCTTTCCAAAGTACATATTAATTCATATATTGCCAGTTTATTAATTTATTCATGCCTTCAATAAATATCCTGCGGAGCACTGTGTTAAGTGCTGGGGAATTAAAGATAACTAAAATATATCCCCTGTCTTGTATATCCTCAAATAAATAGGAGACACAAGTATCCAGACTGACAATCACAGCAATTACAGAGAGTTCTATGCTACAGCACAACCAGAAAAAAATAATGCTGCCTAGGAAGGGCATGGAAGACATTAAGGAAGTGGTGATACTGGAACCGAGTTTTGTGAAATAAGTAGGAGCATACCAGGAGACCAAGGAGAGGAAGGGCATGACAGGCGAAGGGAAGAGCCATGGAAAAAGCCTGGTTTTCTCCCTTGGGTAACTGGACAAGTCTGTGATATCTTAATTCTGATTGGGGTTCTAAGACCCCAGGATGAAAAACTGAATGGAACGGGACAGAACTGGCTCATGAGGTTCAGAGTTTGAAAGCAAGGAGCCCCCAAAGGCAGCCTTCAGGCATAGAGGTAGAATTAAACCTAGTAGAAAATCACACCCGCACAGCCTTCTAAAGGGACGGAGCAGAAAAGACAAACCTAGTGCTAGCGAAGCTGGAGGCAGCAGAGGGTTGAGGCCATGAGTAGGAGGTAGAGGCTGCAAAGAAGCCTTTGCACAGCGCTGTAGGGGATCCTTAGAGGCAGCCTAAAGGTCTGTCTGCGGTGGGGGAGGGCACTGTTAAAGGCATAGACCCTGCTCAGGCAGGGTGGAAACAAAAAGTACAACTTGTCAGGAAATTAAGGTCAGTCCTCATGACCGACACCCAGACAAGTGAAAAGGATGGTAGAAAAGGCAGAGTCAGGGGCTCTACAACGAGGAGCCTTGCAAAGTATGCTCAGTGGACTGAACTGTCCTCCCAGCTGGGATTTCCCCCCCCTCACCCCCCTGGGATAGCAATGCCACCGCTGACCAATACCAGTGTGTTGTGATGTGGTTCACAAATGGTGTTTTAAAGATTTTTAGTAGCTATATGTTTATTGCATGCAACTCAGAAATACATGAGCACTTTATACAGCTATAAAACCTGCTTAAGAGGAGGCTAACATAGATAGTAGCATGGTGAGTTGATCTGTAGAAAAAAATTAAGAAAATACCTAAAAAAAAGGTGTTATAAAAATATAGCAAAAGTTGAGAAGGTGATCTATAAATGATGAAGTTTGAAAATGTTGGCAATAAGCAATGGGGAACCCCTGATAAGTTTTAGGCATGGGACTATATTCTAGAAGGCTGTTCTTGGGGCAGGGGTGGGGGAGTCTTGTATGGGACCTTGAGGTACTTAAGGGGGAATTGTATTTACCTTCCAGAACTAAGGTAAACTCTGAACTCCAGGTTCATGTTTCAGTATAAAGTCTAATTTAAACCCTAAAGTACTTAGACAATTTTTCATGGACCTCCTTTTATTTATTTTTATTTATTTTTAATTTTTTTATTAACATATAATGTATTATTTGTTTCAGGGGTACAGGTCTGTGATTCATCAGTCTTACACAATTCACAGCGCTCACCATAGTACATACCCTCCCCAATCATGGACCTCCTTTTAGTAATTTGAAATACCCATGACTTTATTCTAATCTTGAACAACACGACATATACATGTAAGTGAATATTTTGGTAAAAATGTTCAGTGATCAAAATGACTTCCATGGTGGGGCGCCTGGGTGGCTCAGTCGTTAAGCATCTGCCTTCAGCTCAGGTCATGATCCCAAGGGTCCTGGGACCAAGCCCTGCATCGGGCTCCCTGCTCAGCGGGAAGCCTGCTTCTCCCTCTCCCACTCCCCCTGCTTGTGTTCCCTCTCTCGCTGTGTCTCTCTCTCTGTCAAATAAATACATAAAATCTTAAAAAAAAATGACTTCCATGGTATAATGAGACACTAATTATGTCTATTAAATGTTAGTAAGTCTGTGTCTTTGTAATTATTTAGTCAATTTTAGTCACATAGACTCTAGTGCCTTATTTTTTAAAATATGTCTGGTACCTTATACATTAATCATTTTTTTTACTTCCTCTATTTTGCGGTGGTTTGACATCCAGGAAGGACTCCTCCCAGGATTCACTAATTCCTAGAGATACTAAACAATTTGCCTGCAAGCACAGCTTTCATACGCAAGCCAACCCATCCGGAATCCATACCCTCATCCACCTCCTTCTATCAGGCACTGTGGTCTGGGACTCTATCCTGTGCCCTTAATCATCCCAAAGCCAGTCCCTAGACAACTAGAGACCAGCCCTCTAGCTTGTCAGAATTATTCAAACTATTTAATCCTAAACCTGCGTGGGTATTTACCCTGCCTTGCCCATTTCTTCCCGAGAAAACCAACATAAACACTATTGCTCATGCTTTCCCCTCACTCCTGCCTCCTGACCAACCCTGGTGCTTCTCCGTGTGGCTCTGCATGGCTTAACATGTCTCATCTTCTTGTGAATTGTAAACAAAAAGCTTTTTTCAAAAAGAGTTACCTCTGTGGCTTTTATCTTACCATACCTGATCATAGCAAATCTCAGGTACATTTTTAAAATACATTAAAGAAACTCAATAAACAAATATTTGTTAAATGAATGAATGAATGGATATTTCTACCCCCAAACACGTTTCTCTTTTACTTTATTAAAATTGTTCTCGTGTGACTAAAAGCCATTTACAGTAGCTACCCATCCAACCGAGACCTGGGTTATGAGAAATTGGAATTCAGAGTAATTTACACATTGCAAAATGACATGAAGAAACTATGGCCGGCAAGATGGTGCTGTTTCTTTATTCCAGGAAGAAATCCAAAGAGGACTTTTTTCCAGCCAACACACCCATATTATTGTATCTTCCTCTATGAGATGTTATTTTTTTTCTATGCCAGGTGGATTAACTGCTGTAACAAATAACCCTAAATCTCAATTGCACAAGATAATAAAAATTTATTTCTTAATCACTAAAATCCGATGCAGGTGTTCATAGTTGGACCGCTCTCCTGGCTGACTCCGTGACTCAAGCAATTGAGGATTCTTCCTCCTTTTGGTGCTGTCAGGTTCAAAATGTGATCTCCAAGGTCACTAGAGGAGGTGGAAAAATTATGGGAAAGGCCTATCAGGTACATACCCAACTTCACACACCGGTGCCATGTAAAATGTCTACGTACATCCTACATCCTATGGGTCAGAAGTAGTCACATCCCCCCTCCCTCACTGAGAGATGCAAGGGAATGGGCATAAAAAGTCTCTGGCTGGGCAGCCACTTCCCAGCACCCCCTTGGCACTGGGGAAGAGGAGCTCAAACTTTTGGCGGTCAGCTAACCTTTTCCACCAGTCCATGACATATTTCTCAGGACTGCATGGAGATGCTAGAGTAACTATGAGTTGGTCCAGTGGTAAGGTAAATTGGTATTTCTTCATCATTTTGGGGTCATGAATTTGATAAAATTGATAGACCCTCTCCCTAGAAAAACATGTAAGAATAAGCACACATAATTTTCATGGCATTTCAGAAGCTCCATGGATCCCCTGAAGCCCATCCACTGAAATCCTCGTAGAGGGTCATAAGCCTACACTTGTGGTATTGTGGAGATTATTTAGCTCAGAGAGATATTTTGAATAGTGTTGTAAGTCATGAACCATGAACTAACCTAAATTAGAATTTTTTTCTGCCAAACTGGGGTCTAATTTTTTTTTTAAATTGTTAAAACTAAGAATCCAGGGTATCAATAGTGTGTTATCCAACTTTGAGGGACTGACTAGTTTTGCACTGAGCAGAAATTCCTATCTCTGTTACTGCAAAAGGTTTTATGTTGATATCTTGCCATCCATCTGCCACTCTCCAACCCACTTCACATGCCAACCAGAGTGACACCCAAAAACTTGAATTTTGGCATGTCCCTTCTAAAAACCTTTCAGCGAATAAAGACCTAAAATGGCATAAAAGTCCCTGAGTAAACTGGTCCCACCTGCTTCTCACATTGTGAGCTGCTTTGCTTTTTATACTCTTTCATAACTGGCTTTTCTTCCCTTTCTCCCACCTCAGGGCCTTTGCACATGCCTTTGCAGCTTCTTTGAATTGTTTTGTCTTCATTTTATGTAGTTAACTGTTACTTTTCCTCCAGATGTCAGCTCAACTGTCACTTCCTCAGAGAAGACTTCACAAAGACACCAGGTCAGTCAGTCCTCTATATGTTCTTAAAGTATGCTTTAAGTTTTTCCCCTAATGTTTATCACAGTTTATAACTATGTTTGTGTGGTTATTTGATTTGTCTGGGTCACTCCACTAACAGGAAAAATTCATGAGGGCAGAAACTGAGCATCTGGTATCACAACTCAGTATCTGACTTAGTGCACGGACTATAACAGGCATTTAATATTTGTTGGATGGATAGATGGGATGGATGAATGAATGAATGAATGAATGGTGCCTATGCTTTGCTCTGTAGTTTGAAAAAGAAAAAAATTAAGCAGTAAAGGATCTTGAAACTAAATTATTTTCTCATTCTGAGAAATGAACAGAATAACCGAGTTAAGATTTGCTATGATGTTGAGGAACTTTACATTTAAGCAATGCCTTTTACTGTGCTGTGTAGCAACTTCTGCTCTTAGATAACTTCTAATTCGATAGGAGAAACAAGCAGCAAAACATGTTTTCATCATTATTTATCATTGCTACAAAGAGAACGGCTCACTAATGGGTTAAAGACAGTGGAAGGGGGCTCTCTTTTAAAAAACTGGTGAGTAGGAGACTTCTGGGCTAATTTAGTAAAGCCTCCTGGAGCACCTAGTCCTTTGCTAATTGTTAAAAGGTCTCTAATGACACTTCTTTTTTGAAGTGTATTTGGCACCCTGAGTGCCAACAAAAGATTTTCCCTGCGAGTCTTGCTCCTCAGCTTTTCTGTTTTACTGTCATAAGGATAAAGCTATGAATTCTGAGAAACGCTGTGAAGATAAGGATCGGGCTGGCATTTTAGTACCCCAGCAGAGACCAAGACTCTAAACAGTTTTGCCTCACACTCTTTCTGATAGATTTTATTATTCTTCAAAATATTCACTATGTCTGCATACAGGATGATTGTATGTTCCTATCTGATTTGGCCATGTGGTTTCCTCTGGCAGGTGACATGGCCGTGGAAGTGACAGGTGTAGATGCTTTGAGAGTCATCGTGAGGTTCTACCATCTTTTCCCTCTGATGCAAGGCTCATCATGTTCTCAGATGGGAATCTTCTATCAACATGGATCCCAAAGTGAAGAGGATGAGGGATGGGGCCAGAGTTGACCTCAACCAACATGGAACACGAGCGAAATAATTAGTTTTTATTCTTGTAAGGAACTGAAATTTGAAGGTCGTTTGTTATTGTGGCTTAACCCAGGGAAAGATGACTGATACACTTTCCTTCACAAAAATTATATATCATTTGACTCAAATTTAGAGCTATATGCCTCATGAAAAAATGGTCATTCCCATTTGGGTGAGTCATCCGTCAGTGTTATCCAGGTGCAAAGCTTCAGGAAGGCACAAATGCCATCATGAGGAAGTGGAATTCTCAACCAGTAAAGCCAATGGGCTAACTTTTATATTCACCAACCTCAAAGATATGGAAGCCAGCTTGCCTTGCAGCTCTGCTGGAAGTGCCCAGAGGATCCCATCTGAAATATGGAGGAGAGTTTGCAACAAGAGATTGCTATCAATCAGACAGGGATTTCCTTTCTTAGTTAGGAAAATCAATGAGGTGGGGGAGAGATTTATCTGCTGATTTATACAGAAACAAGAATAGTCAGAGCTCATCATAATATCATTTTTAATAGTAATATCGCATAGAGAAGTATAAAAGAAACTCACTCAAGACAAAAAGAGTTTGTACAGATTGGCCAAGTTCTTTCTTAATTTTCCTTCCTCCTCCTCGTCCTCCCATTCCTGTTCCATTTCCCTTCTGTCTTTCTTCCTTGTCTTTACCCTAAATCTACTCATGGCCATCTTTGGAAGATGTGAGGATAATAAATATAAATAGATATATAGAGATGTTCCCTACTGAAAGCAAAAGATGAATTAAATATACTCTTATTTCGAGTTTAGTCCATTTATAACTCTAAAATATTAAAAGAACTTCTTAACCCTAAACCTCTAAAGTTTGAAAAACCTTCCAAAAACAACTTGATATTTGAGGGGTTTTGACACTTTCTTTTAAGTAATGCCAAAGTGTATTCTCACTTCCCCAGGCTTGCCCAGCCATGATCAGCTTCAGTTCAAGCTTTCCCTGAGTATCTGCTAGGATCATAAATCTGTTTTCATGTAGAACTTGTACTTTTAAAGTGTGGATTATCTTACTGAAGATCATCTTTTTGCCATGAGCTTTCTATCCCAAGGTCAGTTCCCCTAAACACACACACACACACACACACCAATATTCCTAAACTTCAGCTGCAGTGCACGTGGTCATTTATGACTCCCTATTGTCAAGCAATACTGCCCTTCCTCTAAATGTGCTGAGTTTCTAAAATATTCAGTAGGAGGTGGGCAAAGCTAAACTTACCATTAAATCACTCAAGTCACTTGCTGGAAGCCGAGCACTGATATGCAATTTAGACACCTCAGTGTTCAGTCCCTGAAACACATTTTAAACCAAGGGTAGGAGCAGTTCAATTTATGTGCCATGGTGTCTGAATTTGCAAAGATTTTCTGGTAATCTGAGGAGTTATACTGAGTTACTCTCAGCAAATATTTTGCTTTATTTTTGTAGTTTTGTGATACAGTGAAAAGAGCTCTGGATGCCAAGTTAGGAACTAAGGGATTTCTAAACGGGTTTTATATACAATATTTTTGTAACCTAACAAAAAATGTAAATGGTTTACAATTTCATGACCATGAATATGATGAACTGCTCTTTGTTCTGAATTGCTCTAGTTCAATGTCGGATAGTTATAATCAGATTGATCTGCATGAGAATTCAATGCTAATTATGTATACATATGGAAGAGAGCTGATTTTCCATAATGACTCTATGGTTTAAAACCATCAAAGGAAAGGGAGTATTGCAAAATTCACCACTCCAAAAATACTACAGTCCATCAATTAAGCAATACATGAAGCATGTAATGACGATAATTTCTGGGTATGTCAACCAAGAAAGAGGAAAGCTAGTTGTTATGTTGCTTCACCATAAGAATGATGATTGTGTTAGTGCTTGGGTAGGTCATTCCCTACACCAGCTCAAACTTTGAGGGAAGACAAAATGGATTTGCTGAGCTGGCTCTTTTCTTTAATGCCAGATGCCAAGTAAGTCAGTGTCTTAGGATAACTGTTCTATCAAAACCACAAAATACCTAATTTGTGACTTTAGAGAAACCAAGTCACTGAAGGTGAGAACCTGAAGTGGAATTTGCAGACATCTTGTTCATTCCATTCGTTTTAACAATGCGATTACGAAGACCAAGAAAGACAGGCTATCGTGTCCAAAACAATCACAAATCTAGCAATAACGAACGTAGAAAAGGACTTTGCCCAAGTCTGTAAACTCCTAGCCCAGGTCTTTCTTCTCTGCCACGTCACTGGGGAACCAACATTGGTTCCCAAAACTGAATTTAAGAGGAACAAGCATGAAATGTGAAGCTTTCAATTAGGATTCAGAACTATAGAATATCCCTTTGAAATTTTTGAATCTAGTAACAAAAATAAAAATGAAGTCCTATTAAAGAAGTTTCAAGTATGTTCATTCCCCCCCTGTGCTATAAAAAAAAATGAAAGACCTGCTAGTCATATATCAGGCTACCAAGAGAAGTTCATAAATTTTCTGCTCCAAGTAACATTGCATTATTCTTACCCATTTGGAATATCCCTAAAGGTGAAGAATTATATATGCGGCACAAAAGAGAAAGACATGGCTCTACAGTAAAATTATCTCTAAACCAGAAATGCTGACTTAATTTCGTTTTTCTTCTTGTCATTAACATTATTGTCTAAAACACTAATTTTTCTATCATTAAATTGATATTATACTGGATTCATTACTCAAATACATTCATATATATATAATGTGACCATAAAATATGAAACTGAATCTTGTAAACACCCTCAAGTGAATTCAAACATGCACAAGGCTGCTGTCAGATTGAGCAGACACCTGTTACTTAGATCAAGACACCACAAACTCAATGCTGCCACACATTTGCGCAATTTTTGTTGTTGTAGGATTTACTTTTTTTGGGAATTGCCTTCACATCAATGACTTTACACAATTAAATTTAATCTTACTATTATAGCCACACCCTGTGTTTCACCATAGTCTTACCACTTTTTTTTTTATCCCCCACATTTTCTTCAGACTCAGCTCCTGGTTATTTCCTCCTATTAAAAAATAAATAAAATTTGTTTTCCAAGGGCACGGGTCTGTTACCAATCAATATCACTTGGAAAGAATATTAATCAGGTTCTTTAAAATATTTAAGGAAAATTGGATTAGCCATGGCAAGAATATTGGAAAACTCATGACCTTCTAATTTCTACTACAGGAAGAGACTGATTTCATCAATATGAACACATTCTGGCACACTTCTTGAACATTGGTCTTTTTGACTTGAATAACCAACATCATATAGTTTACACTTTCATGGGTATCTCTCTAAAATTTTTCTATAAGGTAATTTGAAGCCAAAGTTGAAAGTGTTCCTGCTACACATCTTAGACTATTACATCTCTTCTTCCTTGTGCAAAAAAGGCAGAAACATTTGAGCTGTCATGATTTTCAACTACTCAGTGAAGCCACAATGCCAACAAATCTCAGTTTATTAGTGCTTGAAATATAAAATTTCAAACATGTACCGTGTATGTGTGTGCGCATGCGTGCATGGGCGCATGCGTGTGAATGTGTGTATCTGGGCATAGTGGAATGGGGCAGTTATTTGTGTCTAATTGTTCTCAGTAAAAAAGTTTTTTCAGCCTGCCCCAAGACAATTATTCCAGCTAATCTGTGTTGGAGCCCTTGGGGACATTTGGAAGAGAGCAGAAGACCCTTCATTTCCAATTTCCCATTAGCCTAGAGCCTCCTTACCTCTTCCAAATACTCTCAGCCTAGGCTGCAGAGGTTAGACCCTCGTCAGTGAGTAGGTTGCTTTTTCCACCTGGAGCTTGGGCTGCTGCTAGGAGGGAAAATGGGCAACACATGAGAAAGGATGATTCCCTCTTTCTGTTAGAACTACATCCTGAAAAATCAGGAAAAAGAAAAGAGGCACAGGAAAGCTAACTCATATGCCAAGTTGGTGGGCAATAAAACATAAGAAAGTTTATCAGGTGATGATCTGGAATCAGGCTAGCTGAGATTGAATTCTGGTTCTAAGCTTACTTTATGGACCTAGACAACATCCATAAATTCCCTATGCCTCCATTTCCTCATCTATAAAATGGGAATCATACTCCTTACATTATAGAGTTACTGGAACATTGCTTGGGACAAGATGAGCATTCAATGAATAGTAACTAAAATTATTACTAATGACTATCACCTATTGAGAGTGTACTACATTTCTAAGAGCCCAGTAATGTAGCACACACGTCCCTTAGGATCCTTCCCAAGAATTTCTACTTTCCAAAGTGAAATAAAATCTCAACTGGTTGTTTAATACTAATGTTTCCTTTCTTTGACTAGCATAATCATTAGTTTATAGTACACATATCTATGTCATTCTAATTTTTTGTAATGGTAAATTTTACATTCTCCTATGCACCTGCAAATTCCTTGAATATATAAAAGGAAAATTTGGCAAATATGAAAACAAATATATAGCCTTCACTCACCCCTACTACATCTGCATTCTAGTCATTCTTCAGTGTCAACCAAGATAACTCACATCCTACCAGAAAAGACAGAACAGAAGCCAGTCATGACAACCCCTTCTACCCAACTTCTAAAGCATAGTTACCGAGCCAAATATACCCAAGCTCTATGGCAGTAAGAAGACTTGCATATTCTGCCAAGGGAGCCACAGTCATGACAGCAAGGCTGAAATGCTGGCGACCTTTCTGGAGACCCTGAGGGAGAGCGGTCCTGGGTACTTCCGGAGCTGTCAGGGATAAAGTGGAGGGCCTATTTAAGGAACTGCGGCTTCAGTGGAGATGCCTCATCTTTTTGTAAATGAAAGGGCAGTGTTTTCTTCCAACCTCCTTGGTGGCTTTCTTCAAGCTATCTCAGCTCAAGAGCCTGAATTTAATTCCAGATATTTTTCATTTGTGCCGTAAACCACTGTAGGGATGACAGGAATTCAGACCTAGGAATGAATGCTAAATTGCAACATCTCCAAATTATCTACTGCCCTGGAAAGCCCACTTTGAAACCAGATTTTTAAAGGTGGTGCAATTTTGGAAGGGACCCACAATCCTTTTTTTTTTTTTTTGCATCACCAGGAAACAGCTTCTCTGTAATCCTTACTTAAAAAGGTTGGGGGGGGCGCACCTGGGTGGCTCAGTTGTTAAGCATCTGCCTTGGGCTCAGGTCGTGATCCCAGGGTCCCGGGATCGAGCCCCGCATCGGGCTCCCAGCTCCGCGGGAAGCCCGCTTCTCCCTCTCCCTCTCCCGCTCCCCCTGCCTGTGATCCCTCTCTAGCTGTGTCTCTCTCTCTGTCAAATAAATAAATAAAATCTTTAAAAAGAAAAGTCTCATGGGTTAATCTCCCTTAGGCAGGTACCATTACTGGTATTTCAACTCCATAAGCAATTCAACTGCAATAAATAAAGTGATGATGATAATATTATAATGACCACACACCATTACATTATCAATGCCTTTTTTTCATTCAGTACTTTATAAAGTGCTTTCCTATATGATCTCTGCCTTCCCACTCCTACCACTATTTCCCACCAACCCTGATAAGGAAGCACTCTTTGTAACTCTGAGCAATGTCCGGTGGGATTATTTGGAAAGACATAATTGCAGCTACTGAGAAAGAGACTCAATGTAATTAAGATTAAATTAGGATAAAATTGTTTTCAGAGATTGATAATTGTACCCTGGGCTTTAAAATAACCAAACCTAAAACCTGCAACCTCACCCAGACCAAGGACTGGTTCCTTCCCATACATCTGTTACTGTGTGTTAGTGTACCTTGGAGTGTGGCCAATCATAGTTTTGTGAAGTTTTTTCCTACACTGGCACACAATTATATTTATCTAAGATAGTTTATGTATTTGCAAATGATAGCACTTACAAGCACTACAAGCTTCTATTGAGAAAATTAACTTGTATGCCACCGCTGAAAATGCTGTTTCCTCCCTCTGGGAAGTGTCATCTTGATTGCTTTCTCATCTAAACTGCTCCATCCCCTCATTGCCTTGTTTTAATGCAACTCAAACTAGACTGCTAGCACTCATCGATAGCAATAATCCCCTCTTCC